ATTAACTAATCCAAAGGCATGGGAACACCAACAAAACCAATCTTACTTTTCATATGGATATGTATTAACTCTGTTCTCTGTACTCTATCCATGGTATAAGAACCACTCTCCTTGTATGAAGAAAAGAATTCTTTTACTAAAAGAAGAAACCCATGTCACACTACACTATCCCGGGGCCCATAACTTAACTCGTTTCCCACACCGGAGCACAACCCCATTGGAAAAGCCAACACAAAGTAACCGCCGTTAAATCCTTAATAGCGAGGGCATACATCCAGATCTCATATCTGTAAAAGGTTGGCAACCTACCAATTAGATTTGTACCCAATTCCTTTTAATAAAGGTTTTCCAGGAAGCAGGAATGCAGCTTCCTTCCATAGCTTCAAGTTGACAAAATTAACATGATTCTTTTAAGAAGTCTATAAATATGATATAATGCACATCCTATTCTTCCATCAAATCGTCCACAACTTCATGCTCTGCTGGTAATTTGATTGTTTCTCTTTGATTCGCAGAAAAGATCTTTTTCTTTCTTCTTTCCTCATATATATATATATATATATATATATACACACACACATTATTGTTGTTCTTTGCTTATCTATATCCATGACAGCTATTCTCAACAAAGCACACATAATCTGCACTGAGCAGCTGCTGAATGCTCGGCCTGCCTCCCTCAATAAATACAGCAAAAAATGGCATTTAGCTTTTGTCACCATCTACTGCTCAAGAACTCTGTTTTCGCTCGTCAGGAATCATAATTCCAAGGTTTCGCCCATTCCTGATCATATCTATCTTACAATTCCACCAGAAAATGATTGTTTCAAAATTGATGAGACCACTCTCACCGACATTGTCAAGAAGGGAAATACTGAGAATCTTCGACCAATTGGCGGGGTGAATGGGGTGGCTTCTTCCCTTCAAACCAGCCTGGATGGTGGAATCAAAGGCGGTGCTGAGGACATTGCTCGCCGACATGAGGCATTTGGTTCTAACACCTACAAAAAACCACCATCTAAGAGTTTCTTTCATTTTGTGCTGGAAGCTTTCAAAGATCTCATAATTTTGATCCTACTCGGCTGCGCCGCACTTGCTCTTGGTTTTGGCATCAAGGAGCATGGCTTGAAAGACGGTTGGTATGATGGTGGGAGTATTTTCGTGGCTGTTTTTCTGGTCATTAGCGTCTCTGCTATCAGCAACTACAGACAGAACAGACAGTTTGATAAATTGTCTAATGTCAGCAACAACATCCAAATTGATGTCATCAGAGGCGGCAGGCGGCAACAGATTTCTATATTTGATATCGTGGTCGGAGATAATGTTTGCCTAAAAATTGGGGATCAGGTTCCAGCTGATGGGTTGTTCTTGGATGGACATTCTCTGCAGATAGACGAATCCAGCATGACAGGGGAGAGCGAGGATGTTGAGGTGAATTCAAAGAAAAACCCGTTCTTGATTTCTGGTACCAAGGTGATTGATGGGTACGCCCAGATGCTTGTCACTTCCGTGGGAATGAACACGACTTGGGGCCAGATGATGAGCCACGTGACGGGCGATAAAAACGAGCAGACGCCACTGCAAGTACGGTTAAACAAGCTAACGTCGGCAATAGGTGTGGTCGGTTTGGCAGTGGCTTTCTTGGTTCTTCTTGTGTTGTTGGTTCGTTACTTCACCGGAAACACTACAGATGAGAATGGAAATACAGAGTTCAATGGAAGCAGTACAAAAGCCGATGATATAATAAATGCTGTGGTGGGGATAGTTGCTTCTGCCGTTACCATTGTCGTTGTTGCTATCCCAGAAGGGCTACCGTTGGCTGTTACGCTGACTTTGGCATATTCAATGAAGAAAATGATGGCGGATCAGGCTATGGTTCGGAAGCTTTCCGCCTGTGAAACTATGGGGTCTGCCACCACAATTTGCACTGACAAAACAGGTACTCTTACACTTAATCAGATGAAGGTGACAAAGTTTTGGCAGGGAAAGGAAGCGATGGATGGAGCTTCTTCTTCCATTTCTCTGTTTGTTGTTAACTTGATTCATCAAGGAGTTGCTCTGAACACAACCGGGGGTGTTTACAGAGGTTCTTCAGGGTTGGAATTCGAATTCTCTGGTAGTCCAACGGAGAAGGCAATTCTTTCTTGGGCTGTTCTAGACATGGAGATGGATCATGAGGAAATAAAGAGGAATTTCACAATTCTCTTTGTGGAAGCTTTCAATTCTCAGAAGAAACGGAGCGGAGTTCTGATCAAGAAGAAAGAAGATAACACAGTTCACGTTCATTGGAAAGGAGCAGCAGAAATGATTTTGGCTATGTGCTCAAACTACTATGATGCTTCAGGAGTAATGAAAGATCTTAATGGAGAAGAAAGGATGGAATTCAAGAAGATTATTCGGGGAATGGCGGCAAGCAGCCTCCGCTGCATTGCTTTTGCTTACAAACAAGTTGCAGAAACAGAGGAAGAAAATGTGAAAGAGATGAAAAAGCTTAAAGAGGAAAACTTGACCTTGTTGGGACTTGTAGGTATCAAGGATCCTTGTCGGCCAGGGGTGGAGAAGGCAGTGGAGGACTGCCAGTATGCTGGAGTGAACATCAAAATGATTACTGGCGACAATGTCTTCACAGCAAGAGCTATTGCCATTGAATGTGGGATTCTTTGGCCAGGTCAAGACATGGATAGTGGAGTCGTTGTGGAAGGCGAGGAATTCCGGAATTATACACCAGAAGAGAGAATGGAGAAGGTGGAGAAGATTCGCGTTATGGCAAGATCGTCTCCTTTTGACAAACTTCTCATGGTGCAATGCTTGAAACAAAAAGGGCATGTAGTTGCAGTCACTGGAGATGGTACCAATGATGCTCCAGCACTCAAAGAAGCTGACATTGGATTGTCAATGGGGATTCAAGGGACGGAAGTTGCGAAAGAGAGCTCCGACATTGTCATCTTGGATGACAAATTTGCTTCCGTGGCCACCGTTCTGAAGTGGGGCAGATGTGTTTACACCAACATACAGAAATTCCTTCAATTCCAGTTGACAGTAAATGTTGCTGCTTTGGTGATCAACTTCGTGGCAGCCATTTGTGCAGGAGAAGTTCCTTTAACGGCCGTTCAGCTTTTGTGGGTGAACTTGATCATGGACACATTGGGTGCTCTGGCTCTGGCTACAGAGAAGCCCACCAAGGAGTTGATGAAAAAGCCACCTGTTGGCCGCACAGAGCCACTGATTACCAATATCATGTGGAGGAACCTCCTAGCTCAAGCTTTTTACCAGGTTGCAATACTCTTGATCCTGCAATTCAGAGGAGAGTCAATCTTCAAAGTGACGGAATCAGTGAATGACACCTTGATCTTCAACACTTTTGTGCTCTGCCAAGTTTTCAATGAATTCAACGCAAGGAAGCTGGAGAAGAGGAATGTTTTCAAGGGTATTCATAAGAACAAGCTATTTTTAGGGATCATCGGGATGACCATTGTTCTTCAAGTGGTGATGGTGGAGTTTCTAAAGCGGTTTGCAGGTACAGAGAGGTTGAATTGGGGACAATGGGGCGCCTGCATCGCCATGGCTGCTGTCTCTTGGCCCATTGGTTGGATTGTCAAGTGCATACCAGTGCCAGAGAGACCTATTTCCAACTATCTCCAATGGAAGAAATGCACATAATGCTTCAAAAATTCATTCATTCTTTAAATATCTGCTTGCATATCCTATAATTTGTGCTCAAATATGACCATTTATTTTAGAATATTAACATTAATGTTAGAATATTATGTTTACATTGTAATTAATTATATACATTTACGTTAACTGATTTTATAGCTAAGAATATTTTATTATATAGATCTTTGTATATACAATGAAGACATGAGTATTCCTCAGCCTTCTTCTATTGATTTAGGGTGCATTTGCAATTGCAATTGAGAGTTTTTCATGTTATCCTACAATACTTTTAAATATATGTGTTTTTGATAATTTTTTTTAGATTGCTTTTTTTTTTTTTAAATTGTAGAAAGTCAAAATAGATTTAAAGTAATTTTTATATATAAAGTCAAAAACCTCATTTTTGAGTTTTCTGACTTTGTTTTTATAAAAAATACTTAATATTTAATATAATTACAAAATTACTTATTAAAACCCAATTTCGTATAATTTAATTACATTA